TAAATTACTGAACAAGTATATTGATTTGTTAAGGTTTCAGAGATGAAGCGGTCCTGCAAGATAGGTATGGTAAGATGGTGTTCAGTGGCTACATAAAAAAAATGCTTGTCTATATCGCGGTTCTGCTCAAATACTCTTCCCCACAGAACACACTGAGCTGCATTCCTCTGCTTCAGCCTCTGATGCTTAAGACAAAGACAAGCTTTGATTTTCTCACTAAATTTAATTTCAATGGTGACACACAGCAGCCTTAAAAGGGGCCATATTCTGCACTTACCTACACCGTAAAAAACCCCCCCGGAAAATTTACGGTAAAAAAACGGCAGCTGTGGTTGCCGCAATTTTACTGTAAAAAATATGGTAGCAACCTTTTAGGTTTTACGGTTTTAACTTAAATACCATCATTTCATTAACTGATATAATGTTAATATACCAACCTATTGAAGTACTGAAATCTGTTTTGTACCTTTGTAATAATCTGATAACCACCAAATGCAGGTGGTGATGAGAAAGTCACATGATGAACCAAAGCCATCACAAGCAGCTTTTAAATAATAACATATATAGAAGGTGTACAGTGTCATTCACACATACACTAAACATCATGGTAACAACACACATGAAACTGAAATAACGCAATAATCATTCATTTAACAACATTAGGTGTAACACACAACCCTAATATACAAAACTGATAAGAAAAAACTAAGAAGAAACATAGTTATTTCAATAAAAAACATCATATTTGAAATGTAACGCAGGGAATTCTGGGAATGTCAATTTACTGTTATTCACTGTAATTATACGGTCTTTTTCACTTCCAAAAACGGTGTACTACTGTAAAAACGTTACATGTCGGTAATGTCCAACAATAATATCCAATACAGTTTTTCACCGTATATAGTAGGCAGTGGTGGAAAGAGTACTGAAAAAATATACTCAAGTAAAAGTACCATTACCTTCCAAAAAATGTAGTGCGAGTAGAGTAAAAGTACTTGTCCAAAAAAACGACTTGAGTAAGAGTAAAAGAGTAGCCTATTTAAAAGTACTCATGAGTATTGAGTAGTGAGTACTGAGCTGTGGATTCTACCCCCTCATAATAAATGCGCGGTCTCGGTGAATCAGCAGCATCCACAACTGAATGTAACAAAAAGTGTTGAACTTGAAAACATTTTATGCGCGAGTGCACTTGCTAAATGAAGGCGGTTTGTGTAAAATGGATTTTTAAAAAAAAAGTTTATTAATGAGCTGCAGTTTTATTACATCACGCGCTGGCACAGATGCAGTATATTAACGCCACGGGTCATCAATAAGGTGCAGACTGGTCCTCAATTTGTGTTTCCAACACACTTTTTAACAGCGCGCATCACGTGCTCAACTCATCAAAAGTCAACAAGTTCCACAAGCAACAACGACTTATCCAAGTGACTGCTGCAGAGCGCACGCGAGAGAGAGACACGGCAGCGCAGATCGCGCGTCTCATAAGTGAGTGGGAATTTACCGAACGTGGCACTTGCGGGATTTAACACTGTACGCAATACCCGCAACCTCACACCAAATTTCAGGCCGTGTAGATAGGCAAGCATAGCCTATATACAAATAATTTAGTAAGCAGAAACCCGAAATTTACCTTAACATATTAATGATAAACAGTTGGCAGTTAAAGTTTTCTATGCACAATTTGATTTGAGGAAAGTCACGAGACCTATTACTATCTATCCAATCACGTTGATGAATAAAAATAAAATTAAAATAAACATGTAACGACCACAAACGGAGGAAAATAGCGGAGTAAAAGCACCAATACATCACTTAAAATGTACTCAAGTAAAAATAAAAGTACACAATTTTTTAACTACTCAAAAAAAGTACAATTACTGATAAAAACTACTTAATTACTGTAACGTGAGTATTTGTAATTCGTTATTTCACACCCCTGATAGTAGGGGAATTTACCGTTAACCATTTATCAGGTTACTGTAGCACTTTTACAGCCTTTTACCGTTAAATTCACGGTAATTTTTTTACAGTGTAGTGTTTGTCCACTCCTAATCTTATTCAAGGTTTATTGCATCAAAAACAAAAAACTTAGTTTTATGTGAGCATTTTCTGTCCTCTCTCTAACTCTCAGAACTGAAAAAGTTTTTAGTAACTTTAGTAAAACCATTTAATTTCAAAAGAACAATAAAAAGCCTATTAAACCCCCTTTAAGAACAAAATAAGATTTAACAACAAGCAAAGGACACACCAAAAATATTTAGGCCTAACTGCATAACTCTGCATTGTTTATTACTAAATATTTGCATCTCTTTGACTTTATTTAATCATATTTTCAAAATGCATTCACTTAAATTGCTTAGATTTAGTAAAAATCTGTTCATTGTAAAAACATATTTATTCAGTTAAAAAGTATGAACTATTAAAATAGTTAGCTGTGGAGTAGGCAATATTAAGTTCTTTAAAATGTATGAGATTAAAACAAATTGGATTTATAGATCATAAATATGGTTATTGTAAACAAATTTGGTTACAGAAATATGACCGTTTCATTTATGTATGACTAACAAATATGCATCACATTTAGTTTATAAGTGTGTGTTTGTGCAGCTTTGTGCAGTCCACTGGGCCAAACAGAGGCTTCCTTCACTTGCTTCATGCAGCGTAGTGAATCGCAGCATTCACAGGCTGCATATTTGAGATATATCTGGGACCGTTGAAGAGCTCTGCGGCTCTGTAGTGTCCATTCTGTGATCTGTAACATGCGTTTTAACATAAATGCACATTGTTATAGAAGGATGGCATCATGCCATACCTTTTACACATTTACTCGAATTGTTATGCTGATAATACAATTTGTAAGTTCTTTAAAATGTATGAGATTAAAACAAATTGGATTTATAGATCATAAATATGGTTATTGTAAACAAATTTGGTTACAGAAATATGACCGTTTCATTTATGTATGACTAACAAATATGCATCACATTTAGTTTATAAGTGTGTGTTCAAATTTCAGGCCGTGTAGATAGGCAAGCATAGCCTATATACAAATAATTTAGTAAGCAGAAACCCGAAATTTACCTTAACATATTAATGATAAACAGTTGGCAGTTAAAGTTTTCTATGCACAATTTGATTTGACGAAAGTCACGAGACCTATTACTATCTATCCAATCACGTTGATGGATAAAAATAAAATTAAAATAAACATGTAACGACCACAAACGGAGGAAAATAGCGGAGTAAAAGTACCGATACATCACTTAAAATGTACTCAAGTAAAAGTAAAAGTACACAATTTTTTAACTACTCAAAAAAGTACAATTGCTGATAAAAACTACTTAATTACTGTAACGTGAGTATTTGTAATTCGTTACTTCACACCCCTGGTCAAACCATACAAACCTCTTCCAAATGTCAGTTCATGAGTATTTGCATACAGGGACAGGTTCACCACCCCATATTAAAATAGATTTTTTTCTTTAGAGATTACTTTTGAGTCAAATAAGCATTCGGTCTAATTTTTCACACATATATAACACAGCTTGTGTATACTGAATTTGTGTTACGTTTGATTCTTAAATGCAAAATAATAATGTTCATGAATGAACGTATTTATGTTACAGTTTTAACATAAATGCACATTGTTATAGAAGGATGGCATCATGCCATACCTTTTACACATTTACTCGAATTGTTATGCTGATAATACAATTTGTAAGTTCTTTAAAATGTATGAGATTAAAACAAATTGGATTTATAGATCATAAATATGGTTATTGTAAACAAATTTGGTTAAATATGACCGTTTCATTTATGTATGACTAACAAATATGCATCACATTTAGTTTATAAGTGTGTGTTTGTGCAGCTTTGTGCAGTCCACTGGGCCAAACAGAGGCTTCCTTCACTTGCTTCATGCAGCGTAGTGAATCGCAGCATTCACAGGCTGCATATTTGAGATATATCTGGGACCGTTGAAGAGCTCTGCGGCTCTGTAGTGTCCATTCTGTGATCTGTAACATGCTGTTTTTTTATGAGCCACTCATAATAGTATCTCCGGTCTGTTTTAAAGCAGAGTACTGCACTTGATGCAAGTTGATTGTCTTATTGTGAACGAATCAGTGTATGCTATTCCAAAAATGGCTTGGTTTTGTTGTCTTATTGACTTTCAATGACTTTCCATTTCCTCTGGCGTCACTTAGGCCATGTGGTTATTGGATCATGTTAACTTAAATAGTCAAAAACTATTGTTTTAGCAAACACATATTAATTCCGGCATTTAACATCACTTTTCATGATCCAATAAGCTAACCCAACTTTTCCAAACAATGTTCTGTTTTACTCAGATGGCAATTAATGTTGACTTTTAATACAATATATTTAAATCAATATCTCACTTCATTTATCATCTTGGATCATTGAGACACTGTTGTAGTTTTTATGTTTATTTATTTTTTCGAATAAGGCATTTTCCATTTTAATTTTAGTTATTTGTCCGGTAATTTTGTAGTGAGTTTTTGTCACTTTTATTAGTTTCCTTTTTTTTAATAATTTTTTTTTAAAACTTACGTTTGTACATCAAGTCAAACTAGAAGAAAATTTGAAATGCAGACTTCGCAACTAGATGATTTTTTTCTTATTTTATTTCGAGTAAAAAAAGGTTTTAAATACTATTAACAATAATTACCCTGTCTTACATCAGTTTTTTTTATGAGCTCAATGCAGTGCATCATGGGATTGCCTTTTCATCAAAGAACATATGCATTTACTGCATACTCGAGCATATAAAACAGAGCATCACACATGAATATAGTCATACGCTTTCACAAGCACAGAGTGTGAGCTTCATTGACAGAGCACTGCAGAATATCTGGAGAGATTAACAAGCACTCAGAGCAGAGGGTAAAGGTCACACAGGGTCAAGTGTAGGCTTTTTGAAGAAATCTGTGAGGGTTTCAAGTGAGTGAGTGATGAATGAGAGAGACAGATGGGTGTACCTCTGCTTAAAAACCTTCTCAGCCATCTCCCGTGCTGCTCTCTTCACCTCAACAGGCACGGCGTCTTTCTCCGCCTGAGAAATCTGGTAAACTTTGTGTCCGGCGTCCAGACGGTAGGGGCCTCCTTTCCCGCCAAGACCCGCTGTATCTCTGCCGCCTACACAAACATATAGGCACTATGTTGAGTTCCTATATAAGTGTTATATTTTTTTGATGAATGATGCAAAAAACAGCCTGTGTGCTAATATTGATCAGGGTCTGTGCACAATAACTGTAAACCTTTTGACACAGTGCAATGGGATGTGATTTACTGTACCTGTGCCTCCAGCCCACTGGTTCCCCCCTACATGAGGGGCATTTCTGGGGTCAATCTTGCCGTGTTTGGGGGAGCTGACATCTTGTCCACTGTCTCTCTGAATGGTGATCTGAAACAAAAAGATGCTTTCAAAAACCAGATCTTTGTTGAAATATTATCTGAACATTCACTCTTTTGGTCTTCATCTTTTTGCTAAGTGGAAAACGAGACGCATATTTAGTCAAATGATTGCATGCCAAATGAAATTCTGGATAGATTTTTCCCATTTCTAGAGTAATTTGCAAAGGAAGTGCCCCATTTACAAGAAAAAGGTGTGCTTACACTGACTTTTTAATGTCAAAGATGTATTTATTCTGGAATCACAATCGCAGGAAACCATGAATCATGCAACTGAATGTTGATTTTCATGAAGAGCTGGCAGGAAAAAAGTCACAAACTGACTGACAATGCCAAAGTTTGTTTATTTTAAATGATAGCAATCCAGACATATGGAAGAAAAAAATCTCAATGGAAATAATAGATAACTATCACATGAGACATCACTGCTTGTGAGTACGCCACTGGATATCGCAACATATTTTAAAGTGTGATCTGTGTGTATGTCTTCTAAGACTTGAAGCTCTCTGAAGCAGGTCTCCTCATCTATTTAGTGGTATTCTCTCACTTCTCTGATCTTCCTTCACACAGTCCATTAATATCATAAAGCACTGGGCCTCTTTTTAATACCCACGCACCCATCCGGAGGGTTGTGGCTTTCTCATGACCTCCACACACTCCTTTACAGCCCCTGCTGTGTCTGTACATAACTGCTAGAACTTCCTATGAAGGCTTCCTAGTTGTTGCGAGAGCAGCACTTTGAAGTGTGATTGTGTCTTCGGGAGAGATAGCAGCACAGCTAGACTGAGAGAGAACAGACACTTAGTGTTCCAGAACGTTCCTTTGCCTCCTATTAATATAAAGGCCATTTCTCATTATACTACGATCCTGCATGTTTTGACTAGGCAAGGTCACGTAAGGTCAACGGACATGAAGTCACTGAGCTTTTTATGACACTTCCTGTTTTAAACTGCACACTGAAAGGAAGAACACTTGTAGGGGATGAGTAGAAATGTTTTTGCCAAGTCATATCGAAAGGAACAGTTGAAGTAAACAGAGCATTTGGTACAAGCAGAGGAAATTCACAAAAATTCTCATGCTGCAAGAATGAACCTTTAAATGCTTTTACATTTAATAAGTCACCCTCATGACATTCCAAAACTGCATGACTTTGTTATGCAGAAAAGGAGAAATAAAAACCAGAAATTATATCAGAGAGAGCAATCTAGATCCTCATGACTGTGTGAAATCTCCAGATAATTTGACCTTTCTATGCTAAGGCAGTTCATGTTGTGGTCAAAATATCCCCTTTTGTGTTCCATTGTCTGTTCCATCGTCTGTCAGCTTTCCCTTTTAAATAGATCAGAGAGATCACAAGAACCCAATGATAAAGATCATGAGAGTCAGCATTCTCATTTTAATTCTGGATTTGTTCCAAAATAACAATAAAGTCCTCCAGTCTAAATATTCAAAGACAACATCGTTTCAAACAGATCTGGTGTGCATGCTACTGTATGTCTGAGTCAGTGTTATGTATGCATGACTGCTGTTTTAATACAGGATGTTAAGAAACTGTAGAGCTTTTCTGTGAGTGTAAGATTACATTCAAAGCACTTTTGACACCTACACACACATATGCCTCAATCTGATATGAGGTCATGCACATTCAACATTTCTGTGTGTGTGTGTGTAGAGAGAGAGAGATGGCTTACAGATGCTCAGGACGAATGTGGCTTATAGAGAGATTAACTACGTTTGGCAATAACATGTACAGAATCGATACACACCAGCAAGATGCAGTTGAAGACTACAGACAATTGAATGATAAATCATTTTAGATGTCTGTACAAGACTTGTGCTCTATATACACTTCCAAATTATTGCATTCTGAGATTTGATGTTTTTCCTGTGTTTAGTCTGAAGGAGGGGTAGCACAGGGACAGTGGTGGGAAAAGATGTTGCTTCCCATTTCTACGGAAGATCAGTGACAGTTCTGTTTATGATAAGGAGATTTGTGTGTGTGCAACGTGGCATCAGATTAGCCAGGATTTAACAGCACAAAGATGAGACACACGCACACTCACAAAACCCTACTGACATTACAGACAGACAGACAGACAGACAGACAGACAGATAGATAGATAGATAGATAGATACATAGATATATGGCTAAGTGTGAATGGAGATTATCTGATGCGAGAAAATGCATGAAGTGACAAGTGTACAGAGGCCAAAAATTTATATAAATTTCACTGCATTAGAAAATACCAAACCAAGTGGTGTCTGAAAACTGTCCATTTTTTTTCATAATTTTTTTCTGCTTTTTGCGGTCACTGTATGTACAGGAGACTTAAATTATGGAAAACAATAACGACACACATCACATCAAAGCAAATGGGTCATCATAGCTAACTAGGGCAAGCCTCTAATTTAAGCCTTTTATCCAATTTCAATTAATGTGGAACAATTACGGCTAGCAGCTAATGTGATTATAAAAGCAAATGCTGACTAGTAATTGACTGTCTGTGCAGTGAGGCAGCAGCTGCCTTTAGTTTTGAACACATATCAGAAAGTCAGTCTGTTGGTGTATTTGCATCCAGACAGATATGGCTAAGTGTGAATGGAGATTATCTGATGCGAGAAAATGCATGAAGTGACAAGTGTACAGAGGCCAAAAATGTATATAAATTTCACTGCATTAGAAAATACCAAACCAAGTGGTGTCTGAAAACTGTCCATTTTTTTTCATAATTTTTTTCTGCTTTTTGCGGTCACTGTATGTACAGGAGACTTAAATTATGGAAAACAATAACGACACACATCACATCAAAGCAAATGGGTCATCATAGCTAACTAGGGCAAGCCTCTAATTTAAGCCTTTTATCCAATTTCAATTAATGTGGAACAATTACGGCTAGCAGCTAATGTGATTATAAAAGCAAATGCTGACTAGTAATTGACTGTCTGTGCAGTGAGGCAGCAGCTGCCTTTAGTTTTGAACACATATCAGAAAGTCAGTCTGTTGGTGTATTTGCATCCAGACAGAGGTACTGGTCCCTGTCCTGGAGCAGCGCCACACTGCCCTTTCTAGCGGCCCAGTGGGCAGAGCAGGAGCCCGGGCTGGAATGTGAAGAATGCCCGTGTTTTGAGGTTGTTTCTGAAATGAAATGTCCCAGCCTGGTTGCTGAGAGGCCACTGCGTTTAGCAGGAGACCCACACAGAGAGCAGGACAATGCAGTCAGACGCGCTGTACTAGCCGCTGACCACAGGAGGCCCAGCAAGCCCACAAACCCCTTCATTACATCAGCGCCAAGTTTTCACTTGATCTCACGGGTTTCACAATCATTGAGTCATTCAGGTGGCAAAAATCCAAAAGGGCCCCTAAAATCCTGGTAGGACAATTTAGGCTGTATAATAAATAGCCATGTGCTAATACCTATTGTTTTTGTTAGTCCAGTGAATTAAATAATTATTTTTAAATAATAATTGAATAATTTTTTTTTTTTTTTTTTTTTCTTGTATAGCACTGATATTCTTCAAACATTCTGGTCAGGTGTTTTTTTCTAGACATTTAACACTGAATATTAATCTTTTGCATTTAATTAAGCCTGTATCACATAACAAAAAGGCTCCATTTCTTTTTATTAATTTTAATTTCTTAGGTATGTACGGAAGCTTGTTTCTGCCACAAGACAAAACAAATGTTTTCAACTTTTCTCAATTCTGACTTTTTTATACTAATTTTATATCTCAGAGGTTTGAGTTTATATCTCACAATTCTGAATTTTTATGCCAGAATTGTGAGAAATAAACTCAACTCTGAGATATAAAATCAGAATTGTAAAAAAAACTAAGCAATGCAAGTGAAAAAGTATTTCGAGTTGTCTCACAATTCTGATTTTTCCCTTACAATTCTAAGTTTACATCTAGAATTTCTGAAAATTATGAATATCTTATATTTATTTATTATGAATATCTTAGTTGTTTAAGAGAAGAAAGTAAGTCATACATGTTTGGAACAACTTGAGGGAGAGTAAATGATGACAGAATCTTTATTTTGGGGTGAACTATCCCTTTAACAAATCCTGCATTAACACATTCCTTTTAATTCTAAATTACATACATTTTAAGCGCCAAGTTTTCACTTGATCTCACGGGTTTCACAATCATTGAGTCATTCAGGTGGCAAAAATCCAAAAGGGCCCCTAAAATCCTGGTAGGACAATTTAGGCTGTATAATAAATAGCCATGTGCTAATACCTATTGTTTTTGTTAGTCCAGTGAATTAAATAATTATTTTTAAATAATAATTGAATAATTTTTATTTTTTTTTATTTTTATTAGAAAGATTGGCATGAGTGAAAAACAACAACAACTTCACATTATGAAGCACATACATACATCCATAACAACAAAACTAAAGTTACAAAATTGGTAGTCCCGCCCAGCCTTATTTTAGTATCACTGTAGTATTTAGTAATAATTTGAAATGAAAAAAAAAATTATTTTAATATATTTATTTATTATTTCAGTTTGTTTCAGTAATTTTAGTTCTTCAACTTAAACTAAACAAAAACTAAAAATTTGAACGTTTACACTGCTCATGTTAATTTCTTTTAGATGTATTTCTTTTTATGTATTTTTAATTTTTAATCTTAAAATTGAAGCGGCTTTAATATAGTCAATACTCACACACACACATTAGTTAATTAAATAATTAAAGTTGTGACATTGCGCTGCAATAAAAAAACCACTAAACTCAGCTTCATATTTTGCAAAACAAACCCCTCTGACAAGTTCTCTATTGCCGTGAAATCCATGCCATATAACCTAAATTCAAATTTAAGACGGGACCTAAGATCAGGAGAGGAGGTGGTTCTTTAAATGCTAGAGTGTGTCAGTAAATTCCTGCTGTAAATTCAAGCAGTGATTGTAAAGAAAGCTGTGCCATTGCTTCCTTCATTTACGGAGTTACTTAAATTCCTCAGACTACACGAAACTGGTCAGACTACA